AGCCTGTGAAGAGTGCTTGGAATGATTGGTGGATAAACAACTCCCCTGTTGTTTATATTCGCACTGGGGAGTATGTAAGCACCTGAATTTTAGTTAATCCTATTTCCCAAAGTAGTAGTGTTCTCCATATTTGTATAGCAGCCCATGGAAGCCAAACAAACGTAGATTTCCAGCATTTTGATGCTAAATCAGATATTCTTCTGTGTCAAAGTCACAGACTTAATGTTGTCTGTCTTGGGCTTTAAGCAATATATCTTTCCGCTTAACTGTCCCATATAGAGAAGGTTACTATGAATGCGAGACGCATAAACCAGAAGTAATAAAATCCTCCAGGTTGAGCTATATCAGAGGAGAGGCATCAACATGGTGAGCAAAAAGAATTTTGTAAGCAAGAATATTGTAAGGCTATTGAATGCTAGAATGGGTTATCAAAAGAAGTTGCAGAATTTTTATATTTTAAGAGCTTTAAACTTATAACATAGATCCATTTAAGTTAAGAAAGTTTGTTTTAGAATAGCCTCTGACTTTGCACATGTGGTTATCCTAGTATATTTTCTATGACCCAGTTCAACTAGTACCATCACTAAGAAGACTTTCTTTAGCCATTTACAAAGATTTGATTATTTCTTTTTGTGTATGGTCATGTCACACTATCACAACAAATGTATAAAATTTTAGGACAAATTGTTTATATAGATTTTTCTATATTATAACTCTTCTAGAGCATAGATACTCTCTGATTTATCAGTTGTATTTCAAGTTTCTAGTTGAGTGCTGGCAAAAAGAAAATAGAGAAGGATTAAATAAATCCCGTATCTCTTCCATTCTATCTCAATTGGTCATCTCATTGTTCTCAGAACTGGCCCCACACATTCCAATTTCTTATGTTTATACCATTTCTCTTATTTTGGAATGCACTTTCTCTTTTCCATTTGAGTAATTCTTATGTATCCTTCCAGCTCCAGCATGAATCTCACTTCTTTCATAGAGTCCCCAGGAGATTAAAAGCTTGAGTGACCATTCTTTCCTTGGAAATCCTAAAGAATTTACTTACAGATTTGATGGATTAAAAAAAAAAAAATGCATGTCCCACAACTCCCCACCTAGTTTGCGAGCATCTGGGATCATGCCTTTTCCCTCTTTGTCACCTCATTTCCTGGAGCAATGCTCTTTTCAGAGAAGCTAGTCAGTAATAAATAATATTTGGTAATGAGGGAGGTGAGAAAATGGCTAATCTCATCACTTATGGAATTTTCTTTTGAAGACACTGATGTTAAATCTAGTTTCTAAAGTCTACACACAATGGAGAAACAGGATCAACTTTTCCAGTATTTCAAAATAAAGGGACAGGTCCCCACTCCTCTTCCAGAACCCTTGGAGCCAGATTGTTTTAGAACTTAGAATCCTTCCTCTTCATTGAGGTAGTACTCCCCATTAATATTTCACAATAAGTAAGTGAATAAAAACAACAAAGACTGTAAATATCCTCATGTTCAGATCTGGTTTGAGTTAATAAAATGGACCTCAATAATCTTAACTGTGTAGACTGTGAAGTCAAATTATTTGCTTGGTGATTACCTTGCAAGTCATATTGTTGACCTTGTAAATTGCTCATAGTCTGAAATTTAGCCTTTGCAGTTAATTCAGTATTCTTTTTTTGTTTCAATGGGGAGATGCCATTTAAAATAAGTTCACAAGAAGACTGTAAAATCAGAATCTCAGGATTCAGCAAATAACTATTCTTAGAGTTTGGTGGCTCATACATGTAGGGTAACTTATGTATCTTAACTATTTTTTGGTGAGACTTCTGGCAAGAATTTTTAAGGGTATCTGTTCAAAACAACTACTTCTTCAGATAGAGTGAAATTGAAGGACAATGAACTTCAAAACATGGGAAAAACACCTTTCAGTTGATGGACTCTTTCAGGAGCACACTCCATTTTTTTCTTTCTTTTTTTTTTTTTTACTATTTAAAGAGGATTTAGAAATAATAAACCACATTTTTATTGACCTGAACTATATACAGTATTTTATGTTCTTAGCATCTACTCTTCTTGGCTAGAGTTTCATTATATTTTGTGATCCAACATTCATGGTTAGTTGAGCAAGCTCTCTTGGCATGTATTTAGGTCAGTTTCTTTGTTCACAGAGATGAGGTCATTGTCACATGGAAACACTTAGTGTATTATTTAACTAATACATTGGAACAGTGAAACCTAGAAAGCATTTTTTTTTAATCAAGTTAAAATATCAAACCACACAGTTTTTTCCTTTTCACTCAGCGTAAAATTGCTCCTAGGAATTGTGTGATTAATATAACATCTGCATTTTCTAAACATGCTTTTCTTTTTTTGAAAAATTAAAAAACAGATTTTGACAGGGAGGACCCCACATAGCATAGTGACATAAATGGACATTTAAAAAATAGAAGAGAATCAAACAAGAGGATGGAGGTAAGAGATTGGAAGTAGTAGGTGAGAGGAGGAGGAGGAAGGGCTGAGTGGTGAGGAGCCTGGGTGGAATACAGTGGCAGTGGATTTGGGAACACATTTTAACACATTCCCAGGACCCATGCGATGAAGGGTGGCTGAGGGTGCTTAGGACCAGACCCTAAAAGGACGTGACTGTGAATATAAAAAGACAGCGTCACACCTAAGAGGCCTCATGAAAAAGAAGCAACAGACCATAATAATAGATCAAAAGTAGCTGGCAAAGAAGAAGGGGTAACTTTGATAGGAATGAGGAAATTGGGAAGGGATAATCATTAGTTGAGATTGGTGGTATGTTGTTTTCCTCTAAGTTTCAGGCCACCAACACACAGGTTTTGTGTGCGTGTCACGGCCTAACCATGAAAGAGTGAGCATGGCCGTGTTGGCAGACAGAAGGTGGGCTTACCTCTGTGCTGGGAACAAGCCAGTCCCTCTGTACCTGTGTGACCACACCTTTCCACAGATACTTGAAGGCAGTGTAGGTTTAAAAATAAAATAGGCCTATTAAATATTGACTAATTGGGAAGCTCGTCACAGTTACTTAGCTGGTTGAGGTTCAAAAAGAAAGAACATAGTTTCTGTGACACTGTGAAAATATGGTGGTGTGTGTGCTCAGTTCTGTCCGACTCTTTGTGACCCTCTGGACTGTAGGCCACCAGGCTCCTCTGTCTAGGGGATTCTCCAGGCAAGAATACTGGAGTGGGTTGCCGTTTCCTACTCCAGGAGATCTTCCCAACCCAGGGATCAAACTCGTATGTCCCATGTTTCCATTAGCAGGCAGATTCTTTTACCACTGAGCCACATAATGGTGGTAAAATATTTTCCCTTCCTTAAAAGTGACTGTGGAGCTGCTCTGTGGAAATGGAGATAAATTGGTTCAGTTGTTTTTCTTACAAGTGACAGAAATCTAACTTGCACCATCTTAGGGAAAAGAAGATAATTTATTGGTTCATATAACTTGAAAAGTTCAGGGATTCACTTCTTCAGACATGACAGTCCCCAGTTACTTAAATAATGTTGTCAGGCGTCTGTTTATTTTTTACATCTCTTGGCTCTATTTTCTTTCTCTTGGCCGTATTTCTGTGTCAGCTTCTCTTTCAAATGATAGGAAAGATGGTTTCACATATATTTGGATCAAAACAGCCCTTATAACTCTACCCTGGAGTATTCTATTTTTTATGAGCCCATTTGGCCACCTGGTGGAAGAACCGACTCATTCCCTCATGCTGGGAAAGATTGAAGCCCAAAGGAGAAGAGGGTGGCATAGGATGAGATGGTTAGATAGCATCACCAACTCAGTGGACATGAGCAAACTCTGGGAGATAGTGAGGACAGGGAAGCCTGGTGTGCTACAGTCCATGGGGCTACAAAGTCAGACACAACTGAGCGAACAACAACAAATCAGTCCTTTAAAGATAAAAAAGGCTCCCGGTGATCTTCCCTGAAGTTAAGTACACCCATCATTGAGTCTTAGGGAGCAGGAGTGTCTCTGATTGGCAGGTCTGGGTCTTGTCTGTGTTCCCAGGATGAGAAAGGTGATGTCTCATGATTGGCAGCCCCCAAGGCATCCCATGGAATGGAGGAAGTGGGGCTCCTGAGAAGAAATGATGAGAGGCTGAAAGCAACCTCAGGTGGGCTTAAAGTTATTGGTAGGATGGAAACATTAAAGAAAAAAAAAAATGGTGTCTGGGAGATGGGGGGGGATAGACACCCAATAAATGCTCATCAATTACAGAGGAATTTAAGAAAAACTCAACAGCTTAGTTTTAGCCCTTGGCGAGTTCTGAAGCCAGAGAAAGCCCAGACTCCTGACCCACAGAAACTATAAAATTAAAAGCTATTCTCTATGTGGCAATAAATAGCCGGTAGGCTGGGCAAGCAACACATCAACCCCAGGCAGCGGGACTAATGGGAAGCCCAGTGGAGTTGATAGGCTGGGTCATGAAAGGAGCAGCTGTAGGATAACTGGGAAGGAGCAAGCACTAGAGAGTCTAGTAATGGCCTCAATAGACCCCCAAGGAGGTGCATAAGATGAAGATGATGAATTTGCCAAATTCCCTATTCTTAGAGGCTTTATAACATGGTGAAGACCCAGTAGACCCCATGGTCAGAAAGAAGTTCAAAGCCTGACTTTGTTAAGAGTTACTTAAGTTGTCTTAACCTTACTTTTCTTCTTGGTGAAGTAGGGTGACCTCTCATTTGGGGGACTGGCTGAGGTGCACGCATCCCACTGTGCCTGACACGTAGGGACTCACAGCACATGGTCTATACTGGTAGCCTGAACATTTTTTTCTCCTTGTCCAAACTGTCTCTAGTCCATATTTGTCTGATTTACATTTCTGAGACATCACCCTCATTTCTCGATTTATCTTTCTGGCTGCCCCTTACCTTTGCTGCTTCTCTGTTCTTTCTTTTCCCTGAGATTCCATCATGGGTTTCCTCTTCCAATATTATCACCAGGGAAACTATTCTTTCCTTTCCCAAAGTTCCTTTGGGTCATAAACAGGAACTTCCACCCACGCTTTCACACACATAGAAGCACTCATTTGGAAGCAAGCTTCCATCTTCTCCATTCCTCCAATCTACTTTTATGCCCAGAAGTGGAAATGACTTTACTTTTTGATGACATTGGGAAAGGGGGATTCTGTGTGTAAACGTAGCTTTGGATTGCTAGAGTTCTCCCTCCCTCTGTTTCTTTCTTTCCTTCTTACCCATTCCTCTTCTTTTCACCTTCTGTTTCCAAGTCTTCTGTGATATTCTTTATTGAAAGTAAGCATATTAGACAAGCCTGGGATGGCCCAAATTGAGCAGGTAAATTCAACTTTGTTTAATATGGAAGAAACAGCATCAGAATAAACATTGTTGACATAAGTGCTTTAAGAATTCAAAGTGTAAGCTTACAATGTTTACTGTTTCATTTTGGATAAGAATGATTAACGAAGGACAAAATTTTATTGTTGATCTCATGTTAAACCTATAATGTTAAGACCATGTTAACCTCAAAGCTTATTCAAATGTTTGCTATAGGAAATTGTGTTCGCTTACTAAAGTTATAAGCTATGTTTGTGCTAGGAAATTGAATTTGCTCACCAGCTTTGTGATAATTAACTCACTGACTGTGACCTCATTGATCTTAATAAAATTGACCCTCTCCATATTTAAACTTTGTAAATTCTCTTTAGATAGGAATATATTTGAAACTCTTTGCCTAGATATTTCTTCCTGCTGGTTGTCGAGTTAAAATAAAATGTCAAACCTCATTCTTACACAGTACTGCTTGAGGTCACAATCTTATTTTTCCAAAAATAATAAAGACTATATTTTGATTTCTGTATTTTTTCTATATTTCTTGATCAATTTTGAATCTGGAGAGGATGGTTAAGTTCACTCGGGGACTTGTTTTCATTGTAACATGCTACCTGGTAGTAAGGTTGAGGAGGAGGGAATGAATAACCCTACTTAATTCTAACACAGGCAACTACCAACATTTTAGAAAAGACATCACCAGGATGGCAATATAGGAGGATTCTGAATTTTCGTTCCTTCTGCATTCCCATGTGCATTGCAGCCTTATTCACAATAGCAAAGGCATGTAAACAGACTGAGTGTCCATTGATGAATGAATGAATAAGAAAATGTGGTATATGTAAACACAATGGAAATATATTCCAATGTGGTATACATTTGACCTTAAAAAAGAAGGAAATCCTGCCATTTGGGACAACACGGTTGAATCTGGAAGGCATATATGTTAAGTAAAATAAGCTAGGCACACAAAGACAAGAAGAATCTAAGGCAGTTTATAGAGAATTTCCCCACCTTTAGTATATGATCTCCCTGGCTTGCCTTCAGCAAGAATCCTGTTATATTGATTTAACAAGAATCCCCCTACTCTTGATGCCTCTTTCCTCATAGTGACTTTCATCGACTGACCTCCTTATCTTGTTCTTTGGCTATAAATTACTGCTTATCCTTCTTATACTATATTGAAGTCTCCTTTTCCTCAATTATAATAGTTTCTGAATAAAATCCTACTTTACCAACTTGATCAGTACTTGGCTTCAGGTCTCTTTGACAGTTTTAAGAATCTTCATTTATATTCCTCTCCAGACTCCACAGATCTTGTTGTTGCTCAGTCACTAAGTCATGTCCAACTTTGTGACCCCATGAGCTGTAGCACGCCAGGTTTCCCTGTCCTTCACTATGTCCCAGAGTTTGCTCAAGTTCATATCCGTTGAAGTCAGTGATGCCATCCAACCATCTCATCCTCTGTCGCCCTATTCTCCTTTTGCCTTTGGTCTTTCCCAGCATCATTGTCTTTTCCAGTAAGTCAGCTCTTCATATCAGGTGGCCAAAGTATTGTAGCTTCAGCTTCAGCATCAGTCCTTCCAATGAATATTCAGAGTTGATTTCCTTTAGGATTGACTGGTTTGATCTCCTTGTAGTCCAAGGGATTCTCAAGAATGTTCTCCAGCACCACAATTTGAAAGCAAGAATTCTTTAGCGCTCAGCCTTTTTTATGGTCTAACTCTCACATCCTCAGATATTAGGGGTGGGTATTTACCAAGCATTTATTATTTGCCTGTAACAGTGCCAAGTGTCATTTACATATGATCCACATGCTAGCCAACTGATTGGTCCAATTGCTGACCTCAGTTTAAACACAATAAAACTTGAAACACAGAGATGTTAAGTAACTTTGTCAAACATCTCCAAGCTCAAAAGGGTCAGAACTGGGCCTGGAATGGGGCTACTGCCTCAGAGATTGAACTCTTAGCTTCCATAGAGCTATTAAAATGGCAGTTGTGATCCACATTTATTTTGAAGTGAATAAAACGGACTCATTAACCACAAGTAGTGAGGTTGTCTGGAGATAATAATCGTCTGGGAATCTGCAACAAATTGCTCAGACTCCAAGATTTGCCTTTCAGACATGAGGCTAATTGTAAAAACTGTTTACATTAACCTGTAATTAGTTCTGCCTTAAGTAATATAACTGCACAATGGAAAGAGTGGGTAATCTTGTTCAGATGGGAGTTTCTTCAAATAAATGAGCAAAGGAATGAAAAGAATCTACTTGAAACTTGAACGAAAGTAGCTCTGTATCACTTATTGAGAAGTGTTAATAGGTATGGGAAAGGGAGACTTTTGTTTGTCTTGAGATTGAACAACAGTGCTCAAGGGTTCTCTCTCTCTATGTATATATTGTTATATATGACATCTATGTTATACATATGATATATATTATATGTGATATATATTTGTTATATATCAATCCTAAAGGAAATCAACCGTGAATATTCATTGGAAGGACTGATGCTGAAGCTGAAGCTCCAATACTTCAGCCACCTGATGCAAAGAGCTGACTCGTTGGAAAAGACCCTGATGCTGGGAAAGATTGAAGGCGGGAGGAGAAGGGGACAATAGAGGATGAGATAGTTGGATGGCATCATCGACTCAATGGACATGAGTTTGAGCAAACTCTGGGAGATTGTGAAGGACAGAGAAGCCTGGTGTGCGCCGTCTGTGTGGTCACAAAGGGTCAGATACGACTGAGTGACTGAACAACAAAATATATATTATATAAGATATATATACTTATATATATCTTTACTCTTAAGATTTAGAATGTACTCTACTAGCAGGCAGGATCCACAGTGTGTATCTTTTTTTTTCTATTAAAGTTTTAAAATTTTGTATTGGAATATAGTCAATTAACAATGGCATACTATGTGTCTTTAAATACTCAATGTTAGAACAAATTTTTACCCACTCAAATGTTAGAATTGTCATCTAATTTACAGCATCACTCCTGTTGGAACTTGGCCTTAGTGGAAAGTTTACAGATCTGTGGCAAACCTGTGTTTGTGGTTTGCTTCTTTGCTCATCATATTTATGTTTGTTCCTATTAATTTGAGAAATGTCATGTTTTTTGGCTCTTCATATGACCACGAATTTTCCAAGCTCCTGATGATTTGTAAACCACAGGACGCAGAGCTGGAATGCATTAGTTTAATAAAGGCAGGGAAAAGTTTGATCTTATAAAGTAGCAGTTATGCAAATGTCTTACAGTGAATAGTGGCCTTAATGGTCGCCATATTTCAGCCATAGCTGGTTTCTCAATGTACTTTTAGGTTTTTTTTTTTTTGCATGTGATTATAGAATTCTGACTTATTTCAAGGATAACTGAGTCTCTTTAAGATTTTCCTGCTTGCCTCTTACTGTGTTTTATCTTTCACAGTATTGCCTAAGCAAAGCGTAAAGGAAATCTTGACTCACGGATGGAATCAGCAATGAAAAATTCTGTGCTGTCTCAATCCCCTAAGTGAGAAAAGGTAAAAGTATTTAGAGAGACCATCAAGGACCCCTGGAGGTAGATAAAGCTCCATCGCTGTAGAGGAAGAGTCAGTCATATTGACTGCTGCCTGTTAGGTATCCCCATAGGTATTAGCAGTCGGCAGTCATCATTAGGTATCTATATCTCACAGTAATCTCAAATATATAACAACACACAAAACTGAATTCCCGATCCTGCCCTGCCCCGAATACACCCTGCCAAGGTCTTGTCCATCTCAGTTTATAGTAACTGTCTTCTGCTAGTTACTCAGTCCAAACATCAATAAGTCATCTTTATCTTTTTTTCCTGTATGAATAAAGAACACCATTGGCTCTACTTTTCAAGTACATCCAGAATCCAATAACTTCTTGTTCTTTCTCAGCCTGATCCTAACCATGGTCACCTGAGTGCCCAGATTTTTGTGGTAGAAACTGAATGGGATTTCTGCTTCCAAGCGTGTATCCTTCCTTCAAGCTCTTTTCCAAGCTCCAAACTGACTCCATTAAACCTTCATCAGGTCATGCCACTGCTCTGCCTAAGACCCTGCAACCTTTCTTCGTCTCACCCTTCACCTGCTCTCCCTTCTCCCAGCTCCCTGACCTCACCCCTGTTGCTCTGCTTTCTAGCCTTCTTGTGCTCAGTTGTGTTTGACTCTGTGGCCTGTGGACTGCAGCCGGCCAGCCTCCTCTGTCCATGGAATTTTCCAGACAGGAATACTGGAGTGGGGTGCCTATTCCAGGGGATCTTCCCAACCCAGGGATCCAACCTGTGCCTCTTGCGTCCCCTGCATTGGCAGGTGGATTCTTTACCACTAGCACCACCTGGGAAGCCCTGCCATTTCTCAGATACTCTTAGCCTGTGCCTGCTTCGGAACTTTCGTGCTTATTGAAATACTCCTTCGGCTCCATGTCTTTGCACGAATGGAATTTTCTGAGTGAGATATTCATGACTACCATATTTATGTCTGTAACTGTGTACAATATTCCTTATCCCCTCCATTATGTTATTTTTCATCACAGTTATAAGTAATTTAATTTACTTGTTTCTTTTATTTATTTGTCCCCACTAGAGTACAGATTCTGTAACAGTAGGGATTTTTGTCTTTTCGTTCACTGATACAACCCCAGCAACCAGAACATTATTTGACCTGTAGTGGGTACTCCATAAATGAATACTGAGTGAATAAATGAAGATGTGAATGAACTGTGCTGGAACATGACTTTGTCCTCTTCTCTCCATTGTTTAATCCTGTAACTATTTCCCTGACCATGGAGAACAACACTTATGCCCAGATAGGTGTTTATCTATCAGAATATGTCTAAGGTTAAATGTTAATAGGGGCAGAGGAAGACTATTTTGTCTGAATTGATAAATTCTCCTGTGTGCATTCTCTTTTCTGTGACAGGGATAACTGAGATTGACCAGAAGGGATTTGAGGGGTAAATATGAGACTTACAGTAAAAATTAATTTTATCTATAATTTTCAAGTCAAATATCAGACTAAGAGTCAACAAATGGTTTCAAAGAAATGCAGCAGGAAGCCTTTGGGATTTTTTCCCCAGGGTTTATATGAACAAATCAGTCCTTATGTGTGCAACTATTGTGGCTGGTCGTGCTTGTACTGTAGGATTGGGGTGAAAAATGTGTATTTTCAAACTTCTGTGATCAACTTGGGTTGGAAATGTAGCACCATTCTTGGCTGTTCCAGCTTCATAGTAGGTGGCTCTCGGGAATCACTGGTGCAGAAGATGCCTGGAGAACAGGAAGAGGGTGAAGGGACTAGGAAGGTTCCATTCAACTTGTTTAGTCGCTAAGTTGTGTCCGACTCTTTTGCGGCCCCCTGGACTGTAGCCTGCCAATCTCCTTTGTTCATGGGATCTCAGGTGAGCATGTTCGAGTGGGTTGCCATTTCCTACTCCAGAGGATCTTCCTGACCCAGGGATCAAACTAATGTCTCCTGCATTAGCAGGTGAGTTCTTTACCACTGAGCCACCTGGGAAGCCCTCCATTCAACTTACACATGAATAAAACAGCTATCCTTCCTTTTCCCCTCTTTTTTGATTTAAAAAGTTCCCCCTAGCATTTTGCAAATTTTTTGTTTGTTTCTGAATTTCTTTATGATAATTTATGACTTTTTTGGGTTTGTCATTAAAATTTTACATGTTGAGGGACACTTCTAAATTCCATGATTCTCCTGTGCCTACGCCAAGTTTCTAAATTATATCATACTTGGGAACTGTAGCCAGGAGTTAAAAACCTGGCGGTTAAAAACTTGGATTCAGTATAGGTTTTCTCCTGTTCCTTGGAATCACTCAGTATGACCTCTTGATGGGTGGGGGCTCCCTCTCTCGCTTTTCTAGTTCCTGGGGATTTCAGAGTTGCAAGTCAAATAAACAGACAACTGATGATGTGCCTTTGGAAAATGTGTAATTTTACTTCTACGTATTTCAGATAAGTGCTTTTTTGGTGACCCGTGTAAAGGTATCAATATGTTAAGAAAAATATCTACATATAAATGTGTGCATACTTAAAAAATGCTGTGAACTTTAAAACATAAAATGTTTCACTATCATCCATCTTTATGTGGTAGATTAAAGTCATTTTTACTAATATGTTGGAGAAGGGAAAGGCTACCCACCCCAGTATTCTGGCCTGGAGAATTCCATGGACTATATAGTCCATGTGATCACAAAGAGTTGGACCCAACTGAGTAACTTTCACTTACTACTCTATAAGAGATTCCCAACCTGGACACAAAAGGACTTGCACATGGATTGTTGAAGATTGATTCAGGGTATGGAGAGAAGAGTTAATGTCAAAGAGCCAAGAATGGGAATTTTTTGAGAAGCTGTTACTGTTCCAAGTGCTGTTTTAGTGCTCCACTCACCTTAATCCTTTTATTACTTAATAACGGTCTTATCTGGTAGCTGTTATTTCCCTTAATTTACTGGATAAGGTGGGTAAGTCTCAAATTGCATAACTGGCCTAAGGTTGTACAGAGATTGTGACTGAGCTGGTATTCAAAGCTCTGAGGCTTGTGTAACTCTGAACTTTGTGTTCTTTCAACTTCCTCACACCGAAATGGGAGTTGCAGGGGCTTGGGCAGAAAAAAAAAAAAGATTTTCTTGTTTTCTTGCCCAGTCATGAGCTCATCTGCTTCCCTAGCCTTCATCTTTTCCTGGTTTATTGAGAATCATGGTACCATCTCTTGGGTTTTTCCTCTGCCACCTCTTTTATTACTTCCTTGTTGAATTTACTCAAAGTTTGTTTTTTTTTTTAAACTGCTAGTTAAATTGAAATGTCTTTTTTTTTTTTAAAGCTATCTTTTAAATTATGCATTTCTCACATACATTTATTGATTAGGTAGTGAATATGCGTTTAGTGAATATTTCTCCCCATCTTTTATTCTTGTTTAAAATTGAGGTCCTTGTCTAAAAAGCATAACATTCACCTGTTTAAAATGTGCAATTTAGTCATTTTTTAATATATTCATAAGGTTGTGCAATTATTACCACTAGTTCCAGAATATTTTAATCCCCCCAAAAGGGTGATTAAAAAATCCCATGAACACTAGCAGTTACTCCTCATTGCCCCCCGCCCCCCGGCCCCTGCGCCATGGGATCCTCCAAGTTAAACAGGATTCCATAGAGAAGTTCTGATAAAACTCTGGCTAAACAAAGAATTAAGTAAGATTTCACCAAAATTCACAGGGAAACCAGACTTAAGTGATTCTGAACATTTTCTCAGAAGAGTTGGGGCAAGCACTAGCATGAAAGGCTATATCATTTGAAAGATACCACCACTTTATTATTCTCATGGAAATTAACATCAAAACTAATTAAAAAAAAACCCCAGGATTCTTTTGTTTTATGAGGTATGGTAAGGAGATGGGACAGGATTTGAGTATACTGCTGATGGAGCAGTAGCATTGAATTTGAGGATGCAGTGGCAGAGAGGCAGGGGAGGGGGGTGCAGCTTTGACAGTCAGTATCCCATTCTTCCTTATTCTGTCACATTGCAAGTTTCTGATCTGCAACAACCTGAGGGAGAGGAGGAGATAGTTTGAGGTATGAGTAGGCATAGAAAGTTACAAGGTGCTTTAAAATATATTATTTTATTCAATCTTTATAACACGTGTGTGAAGTGGGTAGCACAGCATATTACTTGACTTACCCTCAAATCTGAGTGACTGACTTACAGCAACAAAGTTGATTTAACATTTACATTTACTGTAGGCTGTAGATCAGCTGCATCTCTGCTTCCCATGTCCTCGTCATTTTAGAATTCCAGCTGAAAGAGCAGCTTCCTTGCAGGCACACTGTTGTAATAACAAAAAGATGGGACAAGCATCACATTCCAGTGGACACATCATATGATCAGATCCAAAGACAGTGGGCTGAAAGTGACAGAAAGTGAAAGTGAAAGTGGTTAAGTCGTGTCTGACTCTTTGGTATTCTCCAGGCCAGAATACTGGAGTGGGTAGCTGTTCCCTTCTCCAGGGGATCTTCCCAACCCAGGGATTGAACCCAGGTCTCCTGCACTGCAGGCAGATTCTTTACCAGCTGAGCCACAAGGGAAGCCCAAGAATACTGGAGTGGATGGCCTGTTCCTTCTGCAGCAGATCTTCCCAACCCAGGAATTGAACCAGGGGCTCTGGCATTTCAGGCAGATTCTTTACCAACTGAGCTATCAGGGAAGCCCTCATTCAAAGTGTACAATAATAATGCAGCACACCACTGGAAAGTTTTATTATTGTGATTGTGCTTCTTATTTTACAGAGGTGGAAACCAGTGCTTAGAGAGTTTAAACTGCCCAAGTTCACACCACTGACAACTGGCAGAAGCCAACTTGGAATCTCAAGTTTTGACCCAAGGCCATTACTTTTTTTGTATTATACCAACAAAAATGTCAGCTTCATTTACTCATCCGTCTTTGTTGCTGTTTGTCTTGAGAACAGTTTTCCTCATAATGACTTCCTACTAAAGTAGTTAACCCAGTGCCCATCACGCTTCCTTCCCTTTCAATTCGCCAATAAACAGCTTTGAAATGGTTTTGAAATGCAAATGTGTTCCACGTGAGGGAAATATTTTGTAAGTTACCAACAGTCCATTCTTGGATGAAAGCTTAAATTAAAAAATAAAACCCCTCTTCAACACTGGAACCATATTAACTTGAATTTCCTTTAGCAATCTTAAGTCTCAAATTTCCTTGCATCAGTTAAAGACATTGTATCAGTTAAAGCTAAGTATAATTTATAGATGGTTGTGTGGATTTTTAGTGAATAGGAATTTTGCAAGCATCTCCAGATTGAGGTGCTTTGTTAATGAAGGTGGTGATATGACCCTGAATTGTTTCCAGCCTCCCACGAGTTCTCTAAACCATAAGGTGGCAGGGCTGCTGACTTTTCCCAGAATCCTTAGATTTCTGCATTTCCTTGTCTCTGGGTCTTGGCTTAGTCTATTGTTCCCTCATCCTGAAATGCTTCCAGCTTGCTCCACCTTCTCCATCACCCAGGTCTAATCTTGATAATTTTTCAGGCTCTATCCTTAAATGCTTTCTACTCCAGGCAGGAGTTGCCCAATCTCATCAAATACAAGTACACATCCCAGTAAAAAAAAAATCCAAACAATGCTTTGTGTACACTCCAGTATTCCTCTTACTAAACTATGACAAACCTAGACAGCATATTAAAAAGCAGAGATATTACTTTGCCAACGTAGGTCTGTCTAGTTAAATCTATGGTTTTTCCAGTAGTCATGTATGGATGTGAGAGTTGGGCCATAAAGAAAGTTAAGCACCGCAGAATTGATACTTTTGAACTGTGGTGTTGGAGAAGACTCTTGGGAGTCCCTCGGATTGCAAGGAGATCAAACCAGTCCATCCTAAAGTCCTGAATATTCATGGGAAGGACTGATGCTGAAGCCAAAACTCCAATACTTTGGCCGCCTGATGCAAAGAATGGAAAAGACCCTGATGCTGGGTAAGGTTGACGGCAGCAGAAAAGGGGATGACAGAAAATGAGGTGGTTGGATGGCATCACCGACTTGATGGACTTGAGTTTGAGCAAGCTCCTGGAGTTGGTGATGGACAGGAAATCTTGATGTTCTGCAGTCCATGGAGGTTGCAAAGAGTCAGACAGGACTAAGCAATCGAACTGAACTGAACTGACTCTTTTGCCCAATACCTTTCCTCTAAAAGACGTGCAACAAAAGTTTTAAAAATTGTTACATTTGCTAAATTGAAAGTCTTCTGGACAGTGTATGGAGTTGATGTGTGTTCTTGTTTCTTCAACAAGTAGTTATTCAATGCCTTTCATTGCAAGATACAATTGACTCACCAAAAGTGACATGGCTATATAGACCGACTGATTCAGGGTTGAAATCCAGAATTGCCTGACTGTACACCAGTATACTTAATCATTATATAGATATCAATAGCTAGAGGTTGCTGAATGCTAGGTGGCTTCACTGTTGGGCAGCTATTAATTTTATTTCTTTTCCTTAAAAAATTGTATCAAGTGTTTCACCAATGCCTTTTTAAACTCCTGTTAGTCTTAGTTTAAAAACTGTCATTAAGAGGGTGGGATGTTTCAAGAGAACAGCATTGAAACATGTATATATCTAGGGTGAAACAGATAACCAGCCCAGGTTGGGTACATGAGACAAGTGCTCGGGCCTGGTGCACTGGGAGACCCAGAGGGATCGGGTGGAGAGGGAGGTGGGAGGGGGGACTGGGATGGGGAATACATGTAAATCCATGGCTAATTCATTTCAGTGTATAACAAAAATTACTGTAATGATGTAAAAAATAAATAAATAAATAAAAATAAAAACTGTCATTAAAACCTTTTTCTTTTTTGTCCGTATGAATCCAAGATGACCCCATTAAAAGTGAAATAACATTTTCTGGGTGGACTGTATTGAGTAAATTGTACTGCCTAGGGTAGATTCAGGTTTTTTGGGTACTGAGCTTACAAAACTTTTTGGCTTTCTTTAAGAAAATGAAGATAAAAGTATAAACATAAAAATAAGCATGACATGTGTAGTGTAGGAAAAGAAATCACGATAATTGAGTGTTGGAGGTTCAACTTCCTGTTTTTCTAATCTATATGAGACAGTGTACCAGAAATGCTTACATACATGCTTCTTTGTTGCCACCTGATCGCTGGGCTTCTCCTCCCCACTCATCCAGGGTGCTTCATAGCTCCTGGCCCCACCGAATGCTCACGGTGACCCTGCACATGAGGCTTTATTTGTTTCCCGTGAGTCCACTTCCGGTCCTGGCAATTCAAGAACTACAGTCAAATGCAACTGATTTTAGTCTCATATGAGTTTCTGAGTTAATTATTGGACTTCCTGGTACTTTTTCTCAACAAATGGAGATATTTTACTAGGGAATAGCCTTTTCAAATACAAGGATTTCTTTATAATTATAAAAAAAATTTTTTTGGCCATAGTGTTGGTTAGACTACTGTCTTCATAGAAGCCATTTGGCATGAACATAATTTCATTTTGGAAATGTTTAAATAGAACACAAAAGAAGTAACGAAAATTGGTTCTTAAGTAAATAATGTTGTCACTGAGGGATTTAGCTGAGGTTTCCGAAGCTGACACTATGTTCAGAATAGCATTACCTAGAATTGTCGCTTCCATTTTTAAAAATCTTGGGAATGACTAAGCTTTGCTGAAGAATTTAAGTCGTTTTTTCCTTCGAGCTTTGTTGAAGTATTGGCTCCTGCAAAGACAATGAGGTACCACTGGAAATTAGGCTTTTTTAGTGTAGTATTAAAAAAACAGCAGCAGAGGGCCTCATTGCAATGTGCTAGATTTTTCTTTCTTTGTGAAAGAATTTCTCTCTCCATTGCTCTGCCTCCATTCTCATTGTGAAACTTGCAGTACGTTTCGTGGGAAAAAAAATTTTAAATACCAGTTTTACTACATTGGGAATGTAGGGTGCAATTTAAGCCCTAAAAACCATTGTGTTTCTTCTTGGTTCCTGTGAAGATGTTGAAATTTTGGCATCTTTCTTCACTTCCATCCACAAGCAGTGAAGAATTGTATACTCCCTTTTGCTTTTTCTTTCAGGCTGTTACTGTTTTTATTAAGACCATTCCATTTGTTGGCAGATTATTATGAAAACACATTCAGGCAAGTTATTTTACTTTATTCACAGATGAGAAAAATTGCATGGCGAGAGTTCATAATATAATATGACTCATATCTTTCAGTTACCTTTCAGCTAATTGTGCTCAAGTTCTAACAGAGTTATTTCCCATAACTAAAAGAAAAGAAAAGTTGTTGATTATAGCTATGTCAGAAGTTCAAAAGAAATGGGGTCGAGTACAGGTGACGTTAATTAAGCCTGCCTTAATTATTCTATGGGTTCATCTTGCTGTTGGTGTGACTATGGTCAGGAAGGATAATGGCACAGAAAATAGAGAACTGGTCAAACTACAGTTCAGCGCACTCTGAATAGATAGACATGGTTTTGCACTTAATCCTACTGAGTTCCTTTTTAACACTATTGTTTAGGAGAGAGTGTCTCTTGTAGATCACAAGTACCTTTGATAATTATGGGTTCTGTAGTCAAATATACCTATTTTCGGAGTCTCAAGCTGGTTATTATACTGTAATAATATCATTATGTTAATAGAGAATTTTAATCTTACCCAACTCTCACTTAAAGTACATTTCTAAAATCCTGCTTAAAAAGCAGATTCTAATCATCCTTTAGAAAGGAATTGTCTTTAAATGAAAGAGAACTTCAGAAAAATGGATTATTGTTCATTTCCAGCTTTCAGAATCCTTGCTTTTTGAAGAGTTGAAATAATTTAACTATTAGGGAATATAAATATTATATAAGAAAGGGCTAATTTTTTATTGAGATTAGATGAACATTAACATTTTATTGAATCATAAAGATAATATGGAAACATAACATAAAAATATAGGTATTAAATTAAAAAAATATAGGTATTAAATAGAAATGTTATATAGACATGGGCCCTCATATACTTCCTATAGAAAATATATAAACAGTATATAGAAAAGGGCAAATATTTTATTGAGATTAGATGAACATTTTATTTTGTATATATTTTTTGTGATCCCTAAAACAAAATGCGAATAATGATTGTTACCAGTTAGACAATTTAGGTCACTCCCTACTATTAACTTTTTGTGATACAACAAGGTATATTCTGATTGTGTTTTCTGATAAAGCATTATACAACAATAAAACTGGACAAAATGATAGAAAAATCACCATTTCAGGGCTCTTAAAATTAACCAAAGGCATACAACAAATTGAGAAGCAATTTACTCATGAAAAAAGTACCATATGTCAGCTATGAATGGTGGGAGTCTCTGGCATTCTTGCATGGGGCTTCTCTCATCGACTCCTACCGATAAGGTGAATCTCAGCAGAAATGAAGGGGGCTCTGCAGAACACCAGAAGCTTCTTTGCTAGAGGGGGCTCACTTGGCTTGGAGCTGAGGGTGGGAAACCTCACATCCAGGAGTGTTGTCAGTAAAGTCTTAATTTCGGGGGCAAAGGAATGGGGGAGACCAATGGCTCAGGTACACTAAGGCTGTAGCCCAGCTTGGAACGAATTGGTGGACTGGCAGACTAGCCTGGAATTTAACTGGGAGATCTGGGAAATGAGATAGCCACAGAGGGTCTTGCAAACCTCTCCACATATCCACTCAGGAGAGACTGGAGAAGACCCCAAGATCCATATATCCCTGGCTACGTGTGAGACCATACACCTGTGCAGAAGGCCTGAGCGTGTTGAGCGATGGTCAACTCAGTCGTGTCCGACTCTCTGAGACCCCATGGACTGTAGCCTGTCGGGTCCCTCTGTCCGTGGACTTGTCCAGGCAAGAATTCTGGAGTGCGTTGTCATTTCCTTCTCCAACGTAGAAGACGTGCTGGGAGGTAAAAGCCAGGGAGGTCTTGAAAACTGATTGATTAATCCAGTGGCAAAACTTTCTTTAGGTT